GCCCGACTTGAGTGTACTGTCGCCCATATGGGCTTTCCGGCTGGCGACCTTAAATAAAACGCACATTAAAAAAAAAAAAAAAAAAAAAAAAAAAAAAGGGCTTAGGGGTCTTCTCACTTCCCCTCGGAGCGTGCACGTCGCTGAGAAGGCACAGGGCATCGGCAGATGATGGGAGATTCAATGCGGCTGAGACGACGAGGATGGTGTACTATGGTGCGTCAGCCCCTAGTACAGATAGACGGCTTGTAAGGCAGGCCTATGGCTGCCACCAACAGCCCTTTTCAGGGCTAAACACCTTTCTTATTGTCAAAGGTTACTGTACATTTAGGTTCTCATTGACTGCCGTACAGTGACCTGCTTTTCGGCTCAAAATTCATATCTTTGGCTTATACTCCGTGGAAATTGCATGAAGGTAAATTATCACCATCTTGTTTTTCAAAATTAACTCTTTAAGGACATTACTGGTGACATGTCCGGGGTCCGTACTCGACAGCGCAAGCTGCATTTTGTGCCCTCACGGGCGGATGGACCCTCATTAAGCATAAACCAGAAGAAGAAAAAGAAGGGCTAAGGGGGTGTGTATACCGAATACCTTTCTCAAGTAAGTTTGTATATGTTAGTGTTCATCCGTGCTGTTCTACAGAAATTAGAAACTTCGACGGGAGCGATAGCGAATTTCTGTAGAACAGCTACGGATGAATACTAACATATTTAGTGTCAAACTTTATTTGGCCTCATTAATATTCATTTTATTACGTCACTACCGGTCCGCTTTACAAAACAATTACCTGAATGGTGGGTAAAAAATTTGCCCTTATAAATATGCATGATTTACGTCACTTTGCGCGAAGACAATGTACCCCTTGTGTTTCAGTTGCGGCATATGGCTGTTGCGAGTTTCCATTTGCTCGATATTGAAACATAAATTCATTTTCAAAAAAGAAAGTTTTGATGAGTTGGATAATTGTTACCTGATAAGTTTTATACACTTTGATGAATTGGACAACTGATACTCAGTAGCTAATATATTATATGATTTATACATAATTTGTGTCATATTATGTTACGCGAGTTTATGCAGCAAGATAATTAGGACAATATGTAAATAATTCAGTTGTTACTGCAAGATATGCATAATCACAAGAAATAACAATTAGCGGGGTTTAAATTTATCATCGACATCAACATAATTATTACCATCCTCATCTTCTTATCATCATAACCACTTTCATCATCATCATCATCAGCATTATCTAATAATCAATATCATCATCTCATAATGATCATCGTCATGTATTTTCTAAAAGTGTCCACAACGAAAAGTTGTAAAAGTTTTTTCTGTGTCCGTTTTCTTGTAAAGAATGAGAAATTTTCTTTTGTAACGCTTCGTTTTTTTTCTAAGAAGTAAAGCATCACACTGGCCAATGAATTTATGATTTCGTTATTTAAAATCATCCGGAAGTTATTACTCGAATTCTTTCAGGGTGTTTGTGGATATGTTGAGGATGTATACATAGTATTCAATCGTCTTTAGCGTATCTTATTAGTTTTGGTACCCGGACCACCTTTAAGAATAAAGTCTGGCTATACTTGAATGATCGTTTGTATTTTCTTCTTCAGGATGCTAAACATATTCTTACTATTAGATGAATTAAGTATTGCTTTACTGGATTGTTTGAACAACATCAATAGTCAGCTTATAGCTGTCGAAATCATTGTAAAAATAATGATGTTGAAAATCTTATACTTTCCTTCTGTTATAACAGTTCAGAAGGATTATCTCTATCGACCATTAGGCGTTCTACTTATTGTACATTGGCTTCCAGTATATGCCCATAATTCTATCGTTCAGGCGATCTTTATACCTTTTTCGTAATGCCCTGTCCGTCGAGTTTGACATGATAAATGTTGGAACATTCAGCTATAAGTGAGGTGTACGTTTGGTATGAAGGTAACTGACTGACATTGAGAAGTCAAACATTTTTGTCTCACATGTTAATTGTATTCTGAATGAAGCAACAAGGTCCTAATCACTGACCCCCTCTTTGTCTGATATTGCTAGAAAATCGTCATTTAAATCAGCTGCTGTTCGCGAATTTATGCAGATAAGAGAAGCCTTACTGTATTTAATGAGCTGAATATTAATGGGGTATTTTCATTTTATCTAAGTCTCAACCGCTTTGTTAAAACGTTTGATACTTTTACTAACTACTTAAATTTCCATGACCCACAAGTTTACGTAGTTGATAACGCAAATCTCCAGAAATCACAAGTTTCCTTATTTATCTTCTTATTTCATAACTTACTCTTAATTACAATAGTAAAAGTTTGCATAATTTATGATAGCGTAGTCTTGCCTAAGGAGTTTGTAAGTATTGCATAAATTACGGTCAATGAAGCCCTCCATATAGCTAAACGCCCAAACTTGTCTTATCATTTGGGAAATATGCAACCCATTAAATAGCTCGAGGTACAACTCAATTTAAAACATACACACTCCGTCTTACAGCGTTAAATTGATTTGTTTGAATTTAGAAAACCTTTATTGCCATAGATCTCAATATTAGAATTTTTGTTTAGGGTCTATAAACGATGTAATTGTAACTGCATCCAACCGAGCGTAAGGCATTTTTAGATACTATTAGAAAAATGTCGGTCTCCCTTTTTTCTTAAAATAAGTTTTTTTTCACATTTTGTTATATCTTTGTTGGGCATAATTTTTTTTCAGACAAATTAATGTAGAACTTGAGCATTGCGGAGTGTTTCTTAATTCAAAATTTCACCATTTTTGTGTTAAAATGTTGAATTCTGCTTAAGCCGGTGCTAGAGGCGTGGACCCGTTACTGAACTTTTCCCAGTACTGTCCATGAACACGCTCAATCACACCGAGCCTGCAACATTTTACAATTTGCCCTTTTGGGCTTTCTTTAGGCATTCTGTTTTTCTCTACTTTATCTTATTTGAATAGGGCATGTTTGCAACTATAATACAATATAATGTAGGTGAAAGACTTTCACCATGTCTAACACCACTTGATGTCATAAAGAATTATGATAGATCATCATTGAAATTTTCTCTACTTTATCTTATTTAAATAGGGCATGTTTGCAACTATAATACAATATAATGTAGGTGAAAGTCAATCACCATGTCTAACACTACTTGATGTCATAAAGAATTATGATAGATCCTCATTGAAATTTACACATATAACTTTGTTTAATATTTATACGCACTTTAAAATAAGGGTAAATTGGATTTTAAGACTCCGTTAGGGCTTATTTGTTACTTTTCTGGTTTTTTATGCCATTTTAAAACGCCCCGAAAATAATTTCGTATGTTAACATTTTGTTATCCGCTTCTGAATCACAAAAGTTGGGGCATTGAAGGGTTTTCCCGATAACCACGAATGAAAACATCTTTTTTTTCAAAAAAATTTTCAAAAATGCAATTTTTTTCTCTTTTTAAAGAGAATTCTCTTAAAGGGGTTTTCCGTTTTAAAATGGGGCAATTTGAACTTTCATTTAAATCGAGCCTGCAACATTTTCAATTTTACCATTTTGGGCTTTCTTTAGGGATTCAGTTTCCTTCTGTTTTATCAAGAGTTTCATTGAAAGAGGCTACAGTGAAACTTACTGCATGCTTATTATTTAACCCTAGCACTGTTGGACACTTCGTTTTCCTTTTTTGATTGCATCTCACGGGCAAATTAGGAAACTCTTTGATGGGCAGCTCTTAATATCCATTGGTTCCAAATGGTCTTCAGATTGTTTTCTCGGGCCCTTGCAGGTAATTTTCTTGCTGCTCTGCATTCCTTTAAGGCATTTAATACTTTAATTTTTTTGTTATACCGGTAATCATTAGGTTTCCTTTTATAAGTATTTTCAATCCTTTCCTTTTTTCATTCATAAAACGAATTGTAACCATGGCTACTGTTAGCATTTCTATTGGTGACATTATTAACATTGTGTATCGTCTCGTGGGAACAATTTGGGACTAGCAAGGTTTGAGGCACTTTTAGCCGGTAATCTCCCTAGTAGAGTTTTTTCTTTTCTGACCGTTCAAAAGAGGTTCGCGTCTGTGTTCCTTAAGATATATGTCTTGTACTTGTAAATTAAGATAATATAAACTGTTTCCCAGTTTGTTATTTGTCGTCAACGATAACTATCCTTTTACCCTTGCTTTTCCGTTTTCCATTTTACACCACTTCACTTGCTCTCTTGCCCCTTTCACCCTGACAGCCTTATTTTGAATACAATCTAAATTGTTTCCTTTATTTATTTCTTTGGTGTTGTGTCATCACTTCCTTTTTCTGTTCTTGTTTCCACTCCTGCGTATTTGTGTGCCTTACTGGGTTCCGTGTCGGTGGTTCGGAGCTGCTTGGGTTGTTCGGGCTGCGTTCATGAATGTAGCCATTTGATTGTGAATATTTATGTTCACATTTCTTATTGAATAACAGAATTATATTACGAAAATGTTTTTATCGTGAGACTGTTTACTGTCAGCATAGTTCATGGCAAGGTCACAATAGATCATAAGGCCAGCACATCTTCTGCAAGCATAGAAGATTTTGGCACAAATGTTCACCATCATGAAACGTTGTGTTGCGCACATGAAACAGGTTACAAGATTAAAAATCAAGGTAACGCTTTGGGAGGAGGGAACAAGTACTTATACATAGGGAGAATTCTACATTCACTGTGGGACTGCTATATATATCAATAGGCACAGTGATGGGTGCATAATTTATGTCCTTTGGTCAAGATCAAAGTTGACCAAAGAAAAAATGTGAAATTATGGTTGTGTTCATGAATTATGGGATTTAACAGTTATGTAACTTTTATGAGACTGGACATTTGTGATGGGCGTATCTTTGACGAATTGGCACGCTTGACATTATTAAACACAGTTATAACTTCTTTACCTTCAAGCAAATTACACAATCAAAGACAGAAAATTAAACATTTAAGTATTTAAGCAATGATCAAGGGAAAGCAGAGTCCATTAAACATATTTATTTTAATGTAAATATACATTGTATGTTGTACACCAATATTAAAGACGTGAATTAAAGTTATTTCAGTCTGACTAAAATGTATTCAAGAAGCCAAAAGAGAACAGGACACGACTTCCCGTTTTCAGGCCGGTGCTTTCTGGGTGTTCGCTGGTGTGATTGGATTATGTCAGGGCCGCGTTCTGAAAACGTCGCCTTACCTTGTTGATCTTTGTCCTCATTTTCAACACTGCAATATATCAATTTGGTCAACTTAACTGTTCATAAAAGGATACTTAATATTGCTTTATTCTAAACTCTGCAAAGCTTTTTAAGCGTGTGTAAATAGTTGATAAATACCTGATTACAGAATTGACAAAGATATGATTATAAATAATAAGGGGATAAAAACATAACTTTCATGGTAGTATTGAATTGAACTTGGTGCAAAATAAGCATAGCCCTGCATATATCAAATAATATTTACAAGTTGCTATAAGTTTTACTTCATGTATCAACATTAGACTTCATGTTTCAAGAACAATTGGATGTCTCTAAAAACTACCCAGTTCTTTGCTGCCTTAGTTGCATAAATTCTTAAACAGTTGATATTATCAGGAATAGTTGTTCCAGTTGCCTTTGTGTCAATGTCTCCATCTACAAGATCAGCAAGTTTTTTAAACTTATTTCCACATGACGTGTTATTAGTCAACACTCCAAAATCTCTAGACTCTGAATACACTAAGACTGATGAACGGAAAGAATCCTTTCTCGTTTCTAACACACCTGTCATTATTATTATTCTAGAAAAATTATAGGGCTTTTCAAATAAAAGTGTAAAATGATCTCTTTTCTTCGGTGTTTTTGCCCAAAAGAACGTAGTATTGTCACTGTCATAAGCATGTTGAGGTAAATTGTCTTCATACGCTTCCATGGAAGTGTTTACAGTGGCAGGTGGATTATCGCCCTTAGGTAAATCTATTAACAAATCAATTCCAATATTGTCTTTAAACTTATTGTCAATAGAAGGCATTAATTTGTTCTTTAAGGATGAAAATCTTCCTATATGCTGAAAAAGACTATAATTTGAATGGATAGGTTTTTTCTGTCCCTTTTCAACTCTCATTGAACCAAGTAATAGATCGCATGGAGCTAGATCATAATTCTTCAAGAGAAAACTCGATAGGAACTTTAAATCTGTAGACTTGAACAACTTCCCGATAAATCCTAGTCGAGAAAATTCTAACAAAAACCAGTCCTTTTGTAACGCTGAAATAAAATCTCGGATTTCCTGAATAAAATCTGTTGCGACTACAACATCATCCTCCAATTGAATATAGTAATCCGATAAATTCCTACTGTAGAGCATTAAAAATGCAAAATCAATGTTCTGTTTTGCCCGCCATTTTAATCTCGTCTGCGAATCATTAAAGGTCTTCCGTACATTATTTAAATCCGGATATATACAATCAGACGTTTGGATGACATGAATTGTTCCGATATCACAAAACGCTTTATAGCGGCTGTAAACTTGAGCAGATACTTGATTGTTGTAAGTCTTATTTGTATCTGAAACCATTACAACAATAGTAATTTGGTGGTGTTCAGCCTCAGGCATCTTTTCGAATATTGAGTCAAGAGTGTCAAACAAATATATTCTCTCCGTGTTTGGTCGATGAACAGATGGTATTGCAATCGTCAAATATCCTGAAACATATGGAAAAGAAACTACAAAATTATTTAATGTATTTACAGCGGTTCGACGATTTTTTGATATAAGTAATTAGAAAGAGTATCGAAACACAAGGCTATCTGATTTGTACGAGGGGGCGTATTCCCCGAGTATTAATAAGATTGCCGAGTGTTTTGATGTTCTTGCTAATTTGTATCATAGTCAAACATAAAAACACGTTCCCTGTTGTCACAATATGAAACCCCAGAAAAAGTAACCAATGAAGAAGTCTGGATATGATAATTCTATCGCTTTCCTTTCCCTGCCGTTACAATAAGTAAACCCCAGCAAAAATCAGCCAATCAATGGACATGCTCTGGAGTGCGGGTAACTAATACATGCACTCCAGTTAACGCACTACATGCATGTATATATATACGGTTTAACTCTGATACATTCTTAACAGAAGGATACAAGTAAATATGTTATCAAGTTGCACGGCCGGGCTTGTGATACGAAATATGTCTTTAACGTTTAAGTGCATTTTGGAGATTGATGTAGGTCATTACTGACTTTTAGTCCTTAGTTGAATTGCTGCTGTTATTCACGCACACGCAACTTATCTACATGCATGTATTATTTTAGAATTACTTGATTCCAGTATTCACTACTGTGAGAAATAGTGCTGCTTACACAGTTTTTAAAGTCAAAGTTGAAGGTCAATGTGGTGGTCAAACTATGAGGTCAGAGGATAATACATTGAGAAATTTTCATACATCTACATGCATTGAGGATGATATTACTTGACTTGTTTCTATATTGTGAAGCATAGAGAGATTCGCAAAATTAAAAGCCATGTTGTCAAGGTCACATACAGAGGTCTATCTTCTGATAAAAAGGACATACTTTTCAATCATGATAAATTGAGGAATTTAAATGTAAATATTAATTGTGAGACTTAGCATTTGTAACGGGCGTGTTTTGTTGTGGCACTATTGTTGCTTGCACGTTAGCGTATCTAAATTATATCACAAATTCAAAACCCTGACTTGTACCTTAACGTCCAAGATTACTTACCTGGATATTTGTGGAATATACATTTAGCATTACAATGGTAATTTATAGTTCTCTTGTCCAAGAAACTTTAATAAATGTCTTTTAGTTAATTGCCTTCTTTACGAGTTTCGTTATTGAAAGTTTAAAATTAACAACAAAGCCCCTCGCCAGTGCTGCCTCGCCTATTGCTATCTCCAGGTTTTGTTTGGTGCACTGCTGGACACCTTTCCGATGGTCCTGTATTGCGTTGGTTTGGATGAGAATGCGTTCATGGAATGCTGCCCTTCTTTATTGACCTTTGTTTTCATATTTTTGAAAGGTCATTTTTCGAAACAATCTTACTAACAAACTTTGTGCAATTGAAAATTACCTACATGTATCCATACTTTACAAAACTAGGTATTGCAACATTAAAAATATTTCATGATAAAAGTTTTACCTTTCTTTTGTCTTGGCTTTCCGTATATCAGTGGCTGGTGAGGGGGTTTAAAGAACATATCAGGGAAGAATCTCAGTGGTGGTATATTCTCACGTGGGTCTACTTCTAATTCATTTGATCCTGCTGAAATCGGTTCCCTTTTGTCCTTTAAAGTAAAAAGACATCTGTTATCAGCAATACATGACATATTTCATGTGATGTGATGCACATTGAAGGTTTCATGATAAATGCTGTATGTACACATCTGCGATAGTTTTACATTCAAAATTTCATGACTTTTATATCTAAATGTGAAATTTTGCTTGAACCGGTACTCGGGGGCATTGACTGCAGCTTTCATTTACCAATATAGGTTCAAACAAACCGACCTTGCAAAAATTTCATTTTTTAATAATAATAATTATTATATATATTTTAACTAATGAACTGGAAATGTATCTTTTCACACATGAACTGTAAAGTTATCTGATTAAGTGAAACTCATTTCATTTTAACTCACTGGCTATCACGATATGGTGTAAATATTTGATATTATGGAAACTGTCATTTAGTAAGTATTTTAGTTTGGTATCTTTTGTAGCCGCAATTAGAAAACACAGTTCAGTCGCAATTTGAAAACATTTTTATAAGGAAGTATTTTTAGTTTGTTATCTTTCCTAGCCGCGATTTGAAAACGTCTTTATTAGTAAGTATTTTTAGTTTGTTATCTTTCCTAGCCGCGATTTGAAAACATCTTTATTAGTAAGTATTTTTAGTTTGTTATCTTTCCTAGCCGCGATTTGAAAACGTCTTTATTAGTAAGTATTTTTAGTTTGTTATCTTTCCTAGTCGCGATTTGAAAACGTCTTTATTCGTAAGTATTTTTAGTTTGTTATCTTTCCTAGCCGCGATTTGAAAACGTCTTTATTCGTAAGTATTTTTAGTTTGTTATCTTTCCTAGCCGCGATTTGAAAACATCTTTATTCGTAAGTATTTTTAGTTTGTTATCTTTCCTAGCCTCCATTGGAAAACATCTTTAAATTCGTAAGTATTTTTAGTTTGTTATCTTTCCTAGCCGCCAGCCATTGGAAAACATCTTTAAATTCGTAAGTATTTTTAGTTTGTTATCTTTCCTAGCCGCGATTGAAAACATCTTTAAATTCGTAAGTATTTTTAAGTTTGTTATCTTTCCTAGCCGCGATTGGAAAACATCTTTAAATTCGTAAGTATTTTTAGTTTGTTATCTTTCCTAGCCGTGATTGGAAAACATCTTTAAATTCGTAAGTATTTTTAGTTTGTTATCTTTCCTAGCCGCGATTGGAAAACATCTTTAAATTCGTAAGTATTTTTAGTTTGTTATCTTTCCTAGCCGCGATTGGAAAACATCTTTAAATTCGTAAGTATTTTTAGTTTGTTATCTTTCCTAGCCGCGATTGGAAAACATCTTTATTTGTAAGTATTTTTAGTTTGTTATCTTTCCTAGCCGTGATTGGAAAACATCTTTAAATTCGTAAGTATTTTTAGTTTGTTATCTTTCCTAGCCGTGATTGGAAAACATCTTTATTTGTAAGTATTTTTAGTTTGTTATCTTTCCTAGCCGCGATTTGAAAACATCTTTATTAGTAAGTACTTTAGTTTGTCATCTTTCCTAGCCGCATTTTGAAAACATCTTCATTAGTAGGTATTTTTAGTTTGTTATCTTTCCTAGTCGCGATTTGAAAACATCTTTATAAGTAAGTACTTTAGTTTGTTATCTTTCCTAGCCGCGATTTGAAAACATCTTTATAAGTAAGTACTTTAGTTTGTTATCTTTACTTTTAGTATGTATTTTAGTTTGTTATCTTTCCTAGCCACGATTTGAAAACATCTTTAAATTCGTAAGTTTTTTTAGTTTGTTATTTTTCCTAGCCGCGATTGGAAAACATCTTTAAATTCGTAAGTATTTTTAGTTTGTTATTTTTCCTAGCCGCGATTGGAAAACATCTTTAAATTCGTAAGTATTTTTAGTTTGTTATCTTTCCTAGCCGTGATTGGAAAACATCTTTATTTGTAAGTATTTTTAGTTTGTTATCTTTCCTAGCCGTGATTGGAAAACATCTTTATTTGTAAGTATTTTTAGTTTGTTATCTTTCCTAGCCGTGATTGGAAAACATCTTTATTTGTAAGTATTTTTAGTTTGTTATCTTTTCTTTTCTCACTCATGCTATCGGCTAGGATGATGCCAATCTATTCTGATATAAAATATGATATCAATAATATTTTATAAGTGGTATCGTAATAAAAAGTTTATTTTCTACTCGTGCTTTTGGCCGGAATATTGCCAACTTTTGTTTTGAAAAATACATAGTGGGACATGTAGATTTTGTAATATCATGCATATTTCAGTAACATTTATATGCACTGCATGTACGTAATTGTTTATGTTTCATATACATAGAATTGACACATTTACATTTGAAACAAGGCTTGTAAACAATGAAAGAAATGTTAGGTTTATTGTTAAACAACATCAAGTCGGCGTTGGTTTTACGTCTATATTATCTAGTGCAACAAGCGCACATCCTTTGATTGGACAATGTTATACAGGAAAGCTTAATTACCGCCATTATTCTTTGTTGTATATAATACTCTTTTCAGTTATAAAATATGAATTAGTTAAAATAGAATAAATGAAACAATTCTAAAATCGATGCTAATTTTTGAAACACCAGGACAATCCAATACATTTTCGTTTTTCAATCGAAAACATGGGTTAATATAAAATTTAAACCACTATTGATTAGGACAACAGACTTTATTTTTTAGCTTGTTGCGTATATAATAAAAAATCCATGCCATGGATATATATGTATATTGTATGTTGTTCCACAGGTATATGGGTATAAAGTGCAAAATCAAATAGTTAAAACGGAAACTCGAATGTCAACGAGTATGTTAATATTGATGTAAATGTTGTAAGGGTTTTTTGACTGAGACTGTTCACTGTAGTGATAAACGAAAGATATCAACATAGCCCCTAGCACCGTCTTAAGCAGAATTTAACATTTAAATATATAATTAAATGGTTCTTTATAGAATGAAGTAACATTCGCAGATGTCATTATGGAATTTATCACGTGACACTTTTAAAGTCAGAAACTGGTATCCGATCTGTCAGATTAGCTTCCCGATTTAGGTTGAGATGACATTAAAAGATTTAAAATGTATCGTGCATACATAAAGACCCATCGGTATTAAAAGCTTTAAAATGTATCGTGCAAACATAAAGACCCATCGGTATTAAAAGCTTTAAAATGTATCGTGCACAGATAAAGACCCATCGGTATTAAAAGCTTTAAAATGTATCGTGCAAACAGAAAGACCCGTCGATAGTCAAAGCCTTTAAAATGTATCGTGCAAACATAAAGACCCATCGGTATTAAAAGCTTTAAAATGTATCGTGCAAACATAAAGACCCATTGGTATTAAAAGCTTTAAAATGTATCATGCACAGATAAAGACCCATCGGTATTAAAAGCTTTAAAATGTATCGTGCATACATAAAGACCCATCGGTATTAAAAGCTTTAAAATGTATCGTGCAAACATAAAGACCCATCGGTATTAAAAGCTTTAAAATGTATCGTGCATACATAAAGACCCATCGGTATTATTTAAAAGCTTTAAAATGTATCGTGCAAACAGAAAGACCCGTCGATAGTCAAAGCCTTTAAAATGTATCGTGCATACATAAAGACCCGTCGATAGTCAAAGCCTTTGAAATGCATCGTGCATACATAAAGACCCGTCGATAGTCAAAGCCTTTAAAATGCATCGTGCATACATAAAGACCCATCGGTATTAAAAGCTATGAAATTATCGTGCAAACATAAAGACCCATCGGTATTAAAAGCTTTAAAATGTATCGTGCATACATAAAGACCCATCGATATTAAAAGCTTTAAAATGTATCGTGCAAATATAAAGACCCATCGGTATTAAAAGCTTTAAAATGTATCGTGCAAACATAAAGACCCATCGGTATTAAAAGCTTTAAAATGTATCGTGCACATATAAAGACCCATCGGTATTAAAAGCTATGAAGTTCTCGTGCAAACTTAAAATCCGTCGATAGTCAAAGCCTTTAAAATGTATCGTGCACATATAAAGACCCATCGGTATTAAAAGTTATGAAGTTATCGTGCAATCTTAAAAATCCGTTGATATTCAAAGCCTTTATAATATATCGTGCACATATAAAATCTGTCGATATTAAAAACTTTTAAATGTTTTGTACACTAATAAAACTTCGTCTATATAAAAAAAGATATTAAAAAAAGTTTTCGGGAGTTTTCATAAAGACATATAGGCAAAACTAAATACATGTATGTTCAATAGAATTTTAACCTTGTGTGAATTTCCGTAATGGGCTTGTCCAGATTCAAATTTAGATCAGTCCATTAGTATTTTAGGGAGTTTAATATCAGAACTACTAGCAATATAAGGAATCACTCTTTGCACTGGTGGCAATTAAAGGTCTATTTCTATTGCCACTTACACACCTTTTGTTACACATATAGTCTCTGCCGGTGTGACGTTAAAAGAAACGTACTAAAGGCAAAAAAAAAAACACAAAAAAACAACAAATAGTAAATAGATTTGTACCTAGTACTATATGCTTAATTTTGGCTGATAAAAAGATGCACGCGTAGACATAAATGCATTTCATTAAATTATGAAGGGCTCTTGTTGCGTACTTTACTCAACTGAACGACTCTCTTTATGTATTTAAATGACGGCCTATAAAACTATAAAATAATAAATTGTAAATATCGTAAAGATACATGTCGTTAAAATGCCCTTGATAAACCATGCATCATATGGTTAATATTCAGGTCTTAATATAGTATTATACCTTTGTTTAACATTTTGATTGGTAACCAAAAACAACAGGGGACCAGATTTTCGTTAAAATAAAACAAACCTTATCTTCCGGTTTCATAGCTAAAAGTCTTGTCAGATCTGCTCGATTTTTTTCCGCTGAAAAAAAAATCATTGGAAAATACTTTATTAACTCGAGATTGTTCAGAACAGGTCAATATCTTTATTTTAAAGAAAATGTACGGTAACCATTCAAAGAGTTGTCGTTCCTTACCACATAATTGCGATAATCAAAGAGACAGCTGTAAATTGATAAAAAAATGACTTTGAAGTTACTTTAAACATATTTTTGATAGGTTATGCCGAAAGTTTAAAGCTTATTTGAATCCGCTTCCTGGAGCTGTTTACATATAAAAAATGAAATAAAATATTAAATGATAATACAAAACACAATAAACTTTTTATTTATACCGTATATTATCAGTTATATACAAGTTGCTGAATGAATTTGCAGGATATTACATATAAATATAGCATAAGTTGGATAGATATGGTTGTAAAGCTTTAGAAACTGTAACAGCAAGCAGAGCCGTCCGGTTAGCTCAATAGGAAGAGCGTTGGTGTGTAAATCGGGCGACCCGGGTTCGATTCCCGGACAGCGCAGGTCACTTTCGTTGTGACTGATCATGAAATCCTTTCCACGGTAATTCGCACTGAACCTCTGCTGTTGTATGCACAGACATTTCAGTTCTTTGCGAAAGCGAAGACAACTAGTACTGGTAAACTGCTTAACAGCCTGCTCAGGAATGATGCGGTGGATGAACTGTGCTCTTGTAAATACAAGTGGCTAATTGTCACGTTTGCTTTTCTAAAAAGCGCGGGGAAAGGGCGCACGTAGATATTAAAAAGTAATTCAAGAGCGGTGTGTATTTAAATTGTATCATAGTTCAGGGACCTTTCTGTTGAATAAATCGTATACATAATTATACATACACAGTGCGTTATCTAGAGTGCAGGTATTAGTTACCCGCACTCCAGAGCATGTCCATTGATTGGCTCATTTTTGCTGGGTTTACTTATTGTGACGGCAGAGCAAGGGAAAGCGACAGAAATATCATATTCAGATGCTCGTTCATTGGTTCCTTTTTTTTTCTGGACAACAGGGAACGTGTTTTTATGTTTGACTGTGATACAAAGAGAAAGAACATCAAAACTTTGCCCCCTCGTACATATCAGATAGCCTCGTGTTTCGATGCTCTTTCTATTACCTATTTATAGTGTAAGTAATAGAAAGAGCATCGAAACACGAGGCTATCTGATTTGTACGAGGGGGGGCGTATCCCCCGAGTATAAATCAGATTGCCAAGTGTTTTGATGTTCTTTCTATTTTGTATCATAGTCAAACATAAAAACACGTTCCTTGTTGTCACAATATGAAACCGCGGGAAAAAGTAACCAGTGAACGAGCATCTGAATATGATATTTCTGTCGCTTTCCCTCTCTCTTCAGTCACAATAAGTAAACCCCAGCAAAAAATGAACCAATCAATGGGCATCCTCTGGAGTATACGATTTAACTCTAACACATTTTCAACAAAAAGGTCCCCAAACTATGATTCAATGACATTTGAATCGAGGAAAATTACAAAAAAGAACAAACGAAATAATACATGTTATGCAATATATCGTCTATGATGTAGAAATGCATTGTTATTTCAACTTATTGTGTGCGTGCTTCGGTTCTTCACTGCATATAGGCAAACAGCATAGTATGCAAAGTGTTAAGCTAATCTGAATTCGAGAAAATTTATTTGAATTTTTATAAAAGTGTATTATACTGATATGTATTTTTTAGCTGGTGAATATGACGAAATCAATTTTGTACAACGTGAAGATGTCTCTGCCTAAACCAATCAGAGAAAGGCATTCCAAAGCTATTTATAGATTATATAATAAAGAATTGTAGTCACGTCATACTTACTTTTATACGTATGAAGATATGTGAGTTGGACCATAAGAATAAATAAGGTTGCAAAAAACACAAGTTTGCCCGTAATGTTAATATATCTTTTTCCACATTGTTTCAATACCATTCTGAAAATATAATATATGCTACTTAACTGTTTTAAAACCATAAAGAAAGTGATGGTTTTATCTCGTAGTTTAAAAGCCATACTGAAAATTCAAAATTTCAATATGTTTTTGTTTTGTCACATAGCAAAAAAATTATTATAATAACTCAATGAATAACCCGAAACGTTCTTTATTTACTTTTTTCATTAAAAACTCATTATGCCTCAGCTAATATTGTTTTTATTTCATAAAGACTTGAAATGTTTGATATCTTGTTACACTTTTCCAAGAAATGCTCAATTGCCATATTTAGATAAACTATATTTACTTCTTTTGCAGTGTTGGCTATTGGTATAATTATAGTGGTGGAAGTCAAAATACTACATGTACTTTGTTTAAGAATTTGTTATCTTTAAGAAAAAAAATCTTTAAGACACATAACCGCACATTTAGCGCTACTTATTCCGCTGTTAAAAAATAATCATCTTACATGCTCTAAATCTATTATTAAAACATTATTAAACTTTTGTTTGACTTTTCTAAAGAATCTAACAAATATGGATTTCTGAGGCAAAATGTGCCTTCAAGTAATTGAACGGTACATGATACACAAATATAATATATTTGTCGATTTACAATGAAAAAAAATACTATCAAAATGTTGCTATAATTCCTACACAAATGTGTCTTTTATAAAGCTTATGCGAATATTCATATTGTGTTATCACGATATGATCTACTTTTGAGAGTTTAGGAAGAGTAACTATTGTTACAAAAATCAATTTACAGAGGCTATCCCTTGATAGTTTTGTGGAACTAATACGGTTGATATAAATCAGTGTATTTCTGATTTTCACGTAATGCAATTTTGTATTTAATGCTGTCTACATTTATAATTGCATATGGTAATGAATAAGCGAATGTGATTATATATGTATGGTGGCTTATTTGGGTCAGACGAAAACATGAAAATACGACAAAGTAAACATTTTGTCTTATTTTCGTCTTTTCGTCTGGCGCTCGCAGAGCGATAATACGACAAAGTAGTCACATTTTCGTAATTTCATGTTTTTACCTTGGCGCTCCGCGAAGCAAAGATACGACATGGAACAAATCAGCCACCATACATATGTGCATATATAGTTTGCTACAATGATATGATATGTACACATTTGTTATTTTTAAGGCTTGTTTCTTTTACATTTAATTAACGTACAATTTTTCTCTTTTGCAAAACAAAAGCTACACAGTATTCTCATTTTGTCTAATGCGCGAATTATATGCATTAGCATTTGTTTCAATACGGCATAAAATCAGACCCCTTTAA